TCACTACTATTCTTATTTTCTATTCATGTTAAAGTAAACATAACGTCCAGTTAGTATCTTGTAATCTGTGATTTACAGCACAGGAGCTGGACTCGATTAGTTGTTAATCGCAACTATTTTCGACCCCTATTCCATTTGTATATTTTTGTCTATCTATATTTTGTGAGTTGTTAAGTTGTTACTTTTTTTGTTTGGAATAAACATCTATCTATCTATATCTTTTATCGAGTGATAGAAGGCAGGTTAAATCATGGCAAAAACTTCAGAAAAAAACAAAAAAAATTTGTGAATAATAAAACCACTCATTCGTTGTGCATTTAATATGTTAACGCTAGATATAAACTTCGAATATAATTTATCCCAGGGACACAACGATCAAACTGTCATATCTTTTATTTACCAGGGCCGTAAGCGACCAGGAATGAGTCTTTCAGCTACCAATCTACAGCTCTTTCAACATCAGCATCCACATTGCAGTGGTTGCTACCTTTAAACGACAGCACTCTATCAGAGGCGAACAACTGCCCCCGACTTTAACATGGTCGGAGCCGAATGAGAGGCGAGATCTGCCAGAGTTAAATTCAGTTCGATCAGAGCCGACTGGAACAGCGCTGCCAAATACTGAGGATGAAAACAACAATGATTTTGATGTTGTGTTTGTGTTGTTGATTCTTTACATGGCACGATGCTGTTGAGCTGGAAGAAAATAAGTCTGAGACAATGCACTTGTGTTATGATTTAGGTATCTCAAAAAATCAAGATACGCATCAGCTAAAATGCGTTAAATGTTACAGCCTGTTCACATAAGTTGTAATGCAAAATTACCATCTTGTCATTGTTCATCTGTTGTAATATGTGTAACAGTTGTAAACCTAAACGTGGCAGTACCGTGACCACTTCTACAACTTATCTTTGGTGTCTTTAAAAAGTTTCTTCAATTTCCATTAGATCTGTTCAGTGGTTCTCAAGTTTTTGTCACATAATTTTGTATGCCATTTTTGTGTTTTCCGTTGAGCTATCAATCTATTACAGTATTTCTTTACTCTGTCAAATAGATATTAGGGCACGTACCTCTTCACCAAGCTAAAAACTGCACGAAATTACAAATGATGTTGTCTCCACCATAAATGAAATGAGAGGGTACGGAGAAGACAATTGAGAACGTGATTTCGACCCAATAGTTAGGCTCAACCATATCGCAGTTCAATCCAAAGGGTTTATTGGAGCTGAACTTTGCTTAAGTCGAACGCGCATACGTGGCAATTTTTGCTTGCTCAAGCCATATGGCTCCGATAAAATGCTGTCATGAAAACGTAGCAAGTCTTGCAACAGAGAGAGACTGTGAGTCTGATAGGAGATGTCAGTAAAACTATCAAAACATGTAAACACAAAAGTGACTTGAAACTGTTTTGATTCAGTATAGCTGTCAAATCGAGTGCGTTCGGGCTAGGACATTCAAACTCGCAATTATCGTTCACAAGATAATGACGGTGCAAAATATGTCCGGGTTTTTAAAGAAAATGCTTTGTCACAGAATAATAGTCTGTTAAAGGTGCCAAGTATGAAATAATTAGGGGACAAAAAACAAACCTGCATAGATTTTACACATAAAAATGTCACAATATTTATCTTATAACCTACAAAAAGTCTCATGTATTAGAGCTAAACACGTCTAGTTACGTCTGGGTACATACAATCTTCAAGCCTTGAAAGTGTTCTTTGTCGTTGATGGTACTCAATGGGCGATTTAAAAACAAACTTCACAAGGACGCTATATACGATTCTGAACTAATTTTATTTTTTTCTATATTCCTCAATTGCTTTCAGAAACAAATCAAAGTATACAGGGTGGATTTATTCACGTTTAATCACACATAGTTTCCAGACAACGTCAAAAATATGCTATATATCGTTAACGTAATGATAGGTAATCCTGCTGTATATGTCGTTTCAGGTTCAATGTGAATTGGCGTGTATTTCTGCATTTACGTCATCCAACTTAATCAACGGTTATTTAGAAGTATACGTTATAAACGTTTAACGAAAATCAGTGTTTTTTCTGAAATTTCCATTACTTTACGTTGAACTGAATGGGCGACAAACGAAGTGATTCCATTGAGGGTTTGGCGACGGTTACCCTATCGCATAATCCGACGGATATGTGACAGTTACGCACAGTTATTCTTCATAACCGCCATGTAACCGTTGTGTAACCAGACCAGATATATGCCATTTTATGCAGTGATTGGCTATTGTGAAATGAGCATAGCTGTGAGTTCATTTTGTTTCAAACGTTTACAAAAGATTGAATTTTTTTTTCGCAGCATACATGGCGCCAGAAGTTATTACGCAAACTGGAAAGGGAGGATATGGTAGAGCAGCTGACATATGGAGTTTAGGATGTGTTGTAATTGAAATGTCTACAGGAAAGGTAACATCATGTACACAAGTTGAGGAGTCGTTGTATATGAACTTGGATTTGTTGATTGCATGTGCAGACTTAAAAAGGTTTGAAAAGGTTTTTGATATGAGTTGATGTACAAAACACTATATCAACCAGTAATATGATATACCAGCATGTAGCTATAATCTACAGTAAATATCTATATCATCTACAGTAAATATCTATCATCTACAGTAAATATCTATCATCTACAGTAAATATCTATCATCTACAGTAAATATCTATCATCTACAGTAAATATCTATCATCTACAGTAAATATCTATCATCTACAGTAAATATCTATCATCTACAGTAAATATCCATCATCTACAGTATATATCTATCATCTACAGTAAATATCTATCATCTACAGTAAATATCTATCATCTACAGTAAATATCTATCATCTACAGTAAATATCTATCA